TAAAACTCCTGGAAGAAAAGAGACAAATCTCTCATTTCTTAGATATGACACCAAAAGCACAAGCAACCAAAAAACAAAAAAATAAATTATACCACACCAATATGCAAAACTTACATGTGTATCAAAGGACACTATCAAGAAAGCAATCCATAAAATGGGAGAAAATATTTACAGATCATATATATCTTTAAGGGTTAGCATCCAAAGTGCATAAATAATTCTTACAACTCAACAATAAAAAGACAATCCAACTTAAAGAGGCACAGACCCAACTAGACATTTCTCTAAAGAAAACATAAAGATGGCCAGTATGGTATACAAGAAGCTCAACATCATCAGTCATTAGGAAATGTCAATCAAAATCACAGTGAGATAACATGTTATTTTCACTAGGATGACCAGAAGGCTATAATAAAAAACAAAAAATAACAAGTATTGGCAAAGAGCAGAGAAACTGAAACCCACATTATATTGCCAGTGGGAATGTAAAGTGATGCAGTTGCTGGAGAAACATTTGGCAGTGTCTCAAAAAGCTAAACACTTAAGTTGCTATATGACCCAGTGCTCTACTCCTATATATTATCCTAAAAGAACTGAAAAAAAACCTTACAAACAACAACTTGTACATAGATACAACAGCAGCATTGATAATAGCTAAAAATAACCAATATTCATCAACCAATAAATGGATACAGTATATTCATACAATAAGCCACAAATGGGAAAGAATGTGTCATGATATATATGAAAGGACATCTGCTGTATGACTTCTTGTATAAGAAATGTCCAAAGTAAGGGCCAGCCAGATAGCTCAGCGAATTAAAGTGCCTGCTTAGGCAGAAGCAGGGACTGGGGTTCAGTCCCTGGTGTGCTGTGCTAGTCCTGCCCCCAGGGCATGCTGAGATGGTGATTGAGACTGGGCATGGTGACATACACCTGTAATCCCAATGCTTGGGAGGCTGAAAACAGGAGGATCACTAGGAGTCCAATCTGTGTAGTGAGACCCATAGACCCTGTACTAAGTACATTTAAAAAAGAAAAGAAATGCCCAAAATGGATAAATCTGAAGAAACAGAAACAGGTTAATGATATGCAGAGCCCAGCAGCATGGGGAAGTAGGTAGTAATTGTAATGATTATAGTTTCTTTCAGGGGTGATGAAATTATTGTTTGTACTGTCTTGTGAATGTATGGAAAAACATAGGATCCTACACTTTAAAATGGTGAATTTTATCACACAAATCATTAACTTTTAAATGACTATCATATATTGCTTGTAGGAATGTTCATTGATACAGTTTCATGAAGTTGAATTTTGTAATATTTATCAAAATTATAAATGCCTCCTACTCTTAAACCCAGAAAATGCCTTTTCTAGGAATGTATCCTACAAATGTGTTCAAATATGTGCAAAATGCATATACACAATGCGTTGACTTCACTTTCTTTAATATTTCAAAGGGTATCACTACACAACTTGGACTTGTGGGGTTTTCTTTGTTTGTTTGCTTTTTGGTGGAATTGGGGATTGAATTCAGGCCCTAGCACTTGCCAGGCAAGCACTTATTCTACTGAGTGATCTCCCCAGTCCCTGCAGCTCAGACTTGTAGTGTTCCTCCTGTTTTCAGCCTCCCCAGCATTGGGATTACAGGCACGCACCACCACGGCTAGTCTTAGTGGCCAGCTCATCATACCTGGGGCGGGGCCGGCACTGCATGTGGTGCCAGGAAGCAAACACTAGTCCCTGCACTTGCCTAAGCAGGTGCTTAGTCTGCTGAGCTATCTTGCTGACCCTAAATATGTATTTGTATGTACAAGCATAAAGTACTTTTGGAGGGATACTATTCAGAGAGCACTGTGCGCCTACCAAAGATGAACACTAGATGCCTAAGTAATAGAGCAAGTGTTTTCTATTTTAAAAATAAATAAATCTGTGAATAAGGAATGAATGAGTCCCAGGTCTCTGGGAAGGATACTAGCCCAAGGGTAGAAGGACCTGCACTCGATCTCCAGGATGACAGAACTGCTTACCTCATCTGTCCGATCAGTCTCCTAGTGCCCCCATACCGAACTCAGGCTCTGTGTACTTTTCACCAAGCACTAAGGCTGAAAGAGCTTCATTTGTGAAGATTATTAATAATTAAACAACTTAAACCTGAATTCACTTTTCTGTTTCAGTAAATTCCTAGTAGCAAAATAGGCAGTACATACAACTTGGGTTTTTTTTGTTTTTGTTTTTGTTTTTGTGGAACTGGGGATTGAACTCAGACCCTGGCGCTTGCCAGGGAAGCACTTATTCTACTGAGCCATCTCCCCGGCCCCAGTACATACAACTTGTGAGGCAGACAAAGTGGGACATGATTAATCTCTCTCTACCATGAGTTTGTGGGTATGGTATTAAGCATCTGCTAAATTATGTACAAAGTTGCCCTAAGGGAACAAGAGTCTTTTTTTTTTTTTTCTTTTTTCTTTTTTCTTTTTTTTTATGGCCAGCTCAGCCCTCTCTGGGGCTGGCCGAGCATGTGGTGCCAGGGATCGAACCATGGTCCCTCCATTTGTCTGAGCTTGCTTAAGCATGCAATTAGACTGCTGAGCTATCTCACTGGCCCAAAGCAAGAGTCTTAAGAAATATAAAGCTAGAAAGAGTCTAGAGATTAATCCAATTTCCACATTTATTACATATTATTGTTGTATGTGCTATTATATCCTCTATATAATAAGGTCCCAACTCTTACACTTATATGGAAATGATGTCCAGTGCAGTCAGAGGTCAATACAGCCAAGACTGTCTCCCATCATCCCTAACCTATGCTCTTTACTCTAGACTTCTGTAAGTCAAAACACTAAAATTTAGGATTTTATGGGAGCACAAACCTCCATCAGCTGACCTAGGTTTGCCATTTTTCTAATGAGAAGTTACGGGAATGGCTTCCCTAAATATTAACCTGGAACATGATGGCCAAGTCCACAGATAGGACTTCTGACACAGGTATTTTGAGCATCTAAGTCTGAAATAACCAACATATTTCCTCATTTCACCACACCAAATTATGCACAAAATTGACTCAGAAATTATGTATTTCTATTTTACATTTAAGGCAGGCAATTTCTAACCCATAATAGGTTAATTTTTTAAACTGAGATGTTTAAGAATGACCTAACTGTCCAAAGATAAGGGGACTTCGTAGTAACCTGGTAGGTATTTTTGCAATGCCATTTTTAGTGATTGTGTGCAGGCCACAGTGCGTAAAAGTGCTAGGAACCACCTCTAGAGCACACTGCCTACTTCCTGGGTCACTTACCCTGTGATCTTGAGCAAGTTTTTTACTATTTTCTGGCCTTGGTTTCCTTGTTATGAAATAATGATGCTAACAGTAGCATCTGCTTCACAGGATTGTTGGAAGAATTAGTTCAGTTCAAGCTTATAGGTGGCCCAGGTCAGTGGATGGTGTCTGTGGGCAAAGAGGTTTGTGGGCCCCAGGCACTCTGACAGAATAATAGGAGTGGAAACAAGTCAAGGATAGTTGGGCCAGCGAGGTCGAGTCCGCTGCACTGAGCGATCTCTAGCGGTCCTGGAGCACTTGGCATCAAGCCTTCTTCGGCTCTTACCCACAGGCAAGATGGAAACAAATACTTAGGGACTTAAACCAGCCTGACTATTGGGCCCCCCTGAACGAGCTGCTGAAGTACATGCTGGGCGTTTTCCTGTCTGGGGCTGGAGGGAGCTGGAGAACTGGCCTTCCATTCTTCTGTCACGTGAGTTCAGCTCCGCATACACGGGGCCCAGAGGGTCCACCTTCCCAGCCTGGGTCCCCGTGCTGCTCGCGCAGCCTCTGCTCCTGCGGTGTCGGCCTGGGGCTGTGGCGGGAAGCCAGGAAGCGCCCACCGGACAGCAGGGAGGCTGGCACCCTCCCCACCCAAAGCCTTAGCTCAATCTTGGCAAAAAGCTATCTTTCCTTTTTATGAAGTCTTCAGACCCAAGGTTAAGGCAAATTTGAAAGACCACATAGGCACATACCTGGGAGGACAGACTTCAGGGGTGTCTATGACTGCCACAGTAAGCTTGAAACATTTACAGAACAGCACATGTGAGGGGGCGCGCGCGCACGTGCGCACGCGCGCACACACACACACACACACACACACAGAATATCAGCAGCAGCATAAATGACTCTATTTAATAGTCACAGCAGCATCTTATAAACAAGGCAGAATCTCTCGGACTGAAGAGGGAAAAGTCCAAGTTTATAAGTCTTACATAACTAGTGGATCTAGGAACAATACAAGGATCCGCATTCCTACTTTCTAGGTGCGTGATTGTTCACATGTCCTCCTGCTTACCCAAGCTATCTCTTCACCTGTAAAAAGTTAAAAGATAACTACCTCGGCCGGGGCATGTCTGTCATTCCCGCACTGCGGAGGCTAGGCATTAAAGATCACAATTGGAGGCTTGCTTAAGCAACTCAGCAAGACCCTGTCTCAAAATGTTCTTAAAAATTTAAAGGAGGTAGGGGATCTTGGTGATGTAGCTCAGTGGTAGAGGAGTCTTGAGTTCAAGCTCAGGCAAAGGATGATTTGTTTTGTTTTGTCTGAGACAAGGTCCACCCTGGCCTCAAACTTGGCGCTGATCTTATCTCAGCCTCCCCCAGTGCTGGGATGCAGGCCTGCACCACCACGTCCATCCAAGTCCCTTAAATAAAACCCCCAAAACCACGGGAACTGTTTCAGCCTTCCAAGCCATCTAAATATGCGCGCTCTCTACTACGTATTTCCTCTCCCAGTGATGGCGAGTTCAGTAAACAGAGGTCCTTGAGCAACAATGAAGATGGCGACTCGGGTCAGCGCGGGCCGAGCCCAGCAGGCAGCCGGGTCGGGCCCCAGCCGACTCTCGGCGAGCGGCGCCCCCGCCCCGCCCCTCCTTCCGCGCCTGCGCCCCCACAACCCGCGCAGCCCCGCGAGAGCGGTCCGGCGCGCCTGCGCAGAGGCCGGCGGGCGGCGCACCTGGTAGCGACCGGTGAGCAGCTGGCTCCGCGACGGCGTGCACAGCGGCTGCGTGTAGTAGTTGTCCAAGCGCACCCCGCCGGCCGCCAGCGCGTCCAGGTGCGGCGTGCGGAGATCCGAGCCGTGGAAGCCCACGTCGTTCCAGCCCAGGTCGTCGGCCAGCACGAAGACTAGGTTTGGCGGCTGGCCCGACCCGGCGTCCGATCCCGACGGCGCGAGCAGCAGCAGGAGCAGCGGCGGGAGCAGCGGCCAGGAGCCTCGGGGCCGCCCCATGCTGCACGCGGGTGCCGGTATGCGCCGCCGCAGCCGCCGCCGCGGACAGAACCAGGAACGGGGACTGGGGGGGAGGGGGGGTGATGCCCCGCCTTGGCTCCACCCCCAGCCTGGCCGCAGCCCGCCCCCGGCGCCCGGTAACTCAAGATTCCCCGGGGCTGCTGTCCTGGCTGCGAGTTGCGCACCCCGGCATCCTCACGGAGATGGTTCTCTTTGATACACCTTCACAGGTTGATGTTCGGTTATCCTCACGTTCTGGCTGCAGCCCTGCAGCTCGGCTTCCACCCTAATGCTCTGTGTTCAGAAGAAACAAGCTAGTGAGACTCCATGTGCCGAGCTCGCTGCTACACCTACAGGCAGGGTGGAAACCACTTGCTCCCACCTCTGAGCACCCAGATCCGCGCTCCGCAGCACAGGGCCTGCCCGAGGGTGCAGTTTTACTTGCTAGCTGCCCTGGGGCTGTTTCGCGAGGTGAGTGGACACGGGGGAGCAGGTTGGCTCGACCCCACGCGGGCCCATTCAAAGCTGGCTTCTCTGCAGAACGGAAACCAAAAAAGTGCGGTGTGGAACTCGCTTAAAATACCTCTGTGTAGAGAGGATACTTTGCCTCTGTAAGTGTTCGGTGGAGAAGCTAGGCTGGTGACCAGCACATTCCCGGTACCAGCTGAACCTGCTTACTCTGCGTCTAAAGACAAATTACAGTTCTGGGCCTTCGAGAAAAAAAAAAAAATGTTTGCATCACCTGAGGAATACAGGCTTGAGGCTGACTCCAAGGGAAATATTTTACATCTTTATAAGTTGTGGATGACCATAGTCACAAAAATCTTGTAACTATATACAAATGAAATAGAGTGTTAACCCTCCCCCTCCAACACCACCAAAAAAGGAAAAAAGTTTGACCTCCACTGACACATTTATTTTAATATTCCATATCTGCTTTGCACTGGTTTTAGCAGGTGACCAGTATCCTTATTAATGAATGAAATAAAACATATTTTCATGTCTCCCTCTGTGTGAGGATCATGATTTTTAAAAATAGAAATCGTTTAACACATGAAATGTTTCCCTCTTGTATACTTACAATTATTTCCTGAGATATTTAAATTTGTGATGATTTATGTTTATAGCTACTGTTCATCCTTGATTAAGTTCAGCAGGAAATTTTAACTAAATTCAAAAGCTAATTTTGAAGATTTTTGTTATTGTATTAAGGCTTATACTTTTTATTTAAAGGTCTTGGAGACCTTGAAAGACAGACCTTGGTCCTTTCCTTCTATCCCATAACGATTCTTTTCTATCCTTTGTAGAAATCAGATTGCTCAAAAATTGCTGCTATCTGCAGATGCACTTCCTCCTTTAGCCACCCACTCCTGAAATGAAGTGTATGCCAATGAGCTCGTGTCCTACATGTTCAAATACAAGTTTATACTCATGGTGCTCAAGAAAAGTCCAAATGCAAGATTCAGTCTAATTTTCAGCTGTGTATCAACTCTCATAATGTGTGGTCCAGGGCAGGTTCTGTAACATCTCTGAGAAGGACTTACTCTGATGTCTCTTCGTGGTTAGGCTCACTTTTGTGACAGAGCCTCAGGGACCAACAGGTTGTGCTTCTCCACAGACTGGCACATGATGTTGACTTGTTCCCGAATGGGATACTTCCCTTCGGGAGTCTTTCCTCAGATTTGTGACTATTTCCCCCTTGTGATTTTCCTCACAGAAATGTGAGTTTCCCCCTTGTGATTTTCCTCACAGAAATGTGACTACTTCCCCCTTGTGATTGGTATTTTATGGAGAGGTGCTTTGAGAATATGTGAATATACTGTTATTCCTCCAATTTTGCTTTTTAATTTGTACCTTCAGTCAATTAGGATGGCTGTCAAATGGTAATTTTCTAATTCCATTATTTCTTCTGTATTAGTTGCCTTTACTGTAAGAAAAGGCTTTTCCCTTATTTCACTATCAACAAATGAATTCATCTCTAATTCTTTTAATGATGTCAGTGCTTGAGTTTTCAGATTTGGTTGTGTGAGCGCTATCAGTCTGATTCGTGTCTTGGCATGTCCCTTTTAGTCTTGAAATATTTACTTTTTTGGACAACAAAATTTTCTAGGTTCATTATGTATTTTCTTCAAGGAAAATTAGTTCTTTTTAGTGAAAGATGGCATTTAGAAACCCAGATATGTGCTTGGTTTGAATGACCTTATTGTCCTTTTCACAATAGGAAGTGGATTATGTTTCTGTGTAAGCATACATAAGTGTTCATATATACCTCCATGTGCACATATGTATTAAACCAAGGTTCACACGAGTACCTCCAATTCTCCTTTCTCTCTTTCCATATCTTTATGGGTTGCAACAGTTTTCATTATCTTTCAGCTTTTAAAAATTACTATATTAAAGTCAGTTTGGCCATTTCTTACAAAACAACTAAACTTTTATTATGATCCTGCAACTGTGTATGCTAGCATTTACTTAAAGGAGTTAAAAATTACTAACAAAGTTAATAACAAACTGAAGTTAACACATGATAATGCTTTTTAATTTTAACAAGTCTGGTAAAGCTAAATAGCATCTACTTTAAGGAGTTAATAATTATTAAATCGCACACAGATGTTTACAACAGCTTTACTCACATTTGCAAAACTTGAAAGCAACCAAGATGACCTTCAGTTAGGTGAATAAACTGATACATCAAGATGGTGGAACAATATTTAGTGCTTAAGAAACTCTCAATGCATGAAAATATGTGGGGCCAGGAAGATATAGCTCAGTGGTGTAAGTGCCTGCCTGGCAAGCACGAGGTCCCAAGCTCAATGTCTCATACCAGGAAAAAAACAAAAAAGTATGTGTAAGAATCTTCAATACATATTGATAAGTGAAAGTTTGCATACTATTGATTCCAACTATATGACATTCTGGAAATGGCAAGACTACAGAGTCTGTGTTGGAAGCCGTGGAAGCTGGAAAATCGGTCAAATGTGTATAGGGGGAACTAGGCCTCTGTGCCTAAAGCAAACAAGCTACCTTAGTCCTGAGATAAGCATCCTGACTGGTTAATGTCAGCTATCAGTCACTAGGCAGCCTTGTATCACACAGTGTTACTAACTTTGCAAAGGTATAAAGAAACATTGATACTGTTGCTGGAGGGTTCAAGCAGAGGAGTCACCACCTAACCCAGCTCTTGTCTTCTTGTCTATCTTTTCCTCACTCCTGCTTCCATTTCTCCCCAGGTAGAATGGATCACACTGAGACTCACAAATCCTTACAACAGTAAAAAAAAAAAAAAAAAAAAATTAGGGGCTAGTGGCTGGGGGTGTAAATATACGGCACTCAGGATTTCAGTGCATTGAAACTACTCTTCATAATACTGTGATGGTGGTTACATTTGTTCAGACTCACCAAGGATGTACACCATCAAGAGTGAGTCCTGAGGGGGGCTGGGGAGATGGCTCAGTAGAATAAGCACTTCCCTAATAAGTGCAAGGGCCTGAGTTCAATCCCTGGCTCTGAAAAAAAAAAAAAAAAAAGGTGAGTCCTGAAGTCCATGATGGGCTTTGGGTAATTATCTTACTCCATTTTCTGTGGCCATAACTATATTAAGCTGGGTAATTTACTGGCCATAACAATATTAAGCTGGGTAATTTAGAGGGAGCAGAATTTTGTTGCTTTTTGCTGTGAACCCAAAGCTATTCTAACAAAGTACTACACAGGCATGTGTCACTTAACAAGAATGTACTCTAGCAAATGCATTGTTACATCCTAAAGTGTATTTGCACAAACCTAGAAGGCCATGACAGCCCTAGGCAACATAATCTTATAGAACCACCATGTATATTCAGTTTGGTATTAACTGAAACATCTTATGACAGATATTGCTTTTTAATTTTATAAGTCTGGTAAAACTATCTCACAGCTGCGCATAGTAATAAACACCTGTAATCCTGGCTCCGTGGGAGCCTGAGGCAGGAGGATCACAGGTTCCAGGCCAAACTGGACAAGATATTGATACTTTATAAAAAATAAGACAAAATGGGCTGGGGATGTAGCATAGTAGCAGTTTGTCTTCCCTCCATGAGGCCCAGGGTTCTATCTGTAGTACTACAAAAAGGGTGGGGAACCCTACACAGTAATCCCAGTACTCAGAGAGGCTGAGGCAAGAAGGATCCCCAAGTGTGAGCCCAGCCTGGGATCTTGATTGAAACCCTATCTCAAAACTGAAAATTTAAAAATAAGGCTGGAGATGTAGCTTAAACCCAGGGTTCAAGCCCCAGTACTGCACCCTCACAAAACAAATTCAATATAGATTTTTTTATTTTTTAATTTCTTAAGACGTGAGCAAAGGTAAACATCTTTCTGCGTGTTGAAAAGCAATCTTTTTTACATCATTTTTGTCAATCTGTCATTTTTTGTTTTGTTGTTGTTGTTGTTGTTGTTGTTGTTTTGTTTTTGCAGAACCAGGGATTGAACTCAGACCCTTGCACTTGCCAGGGAAGTGCTTATTCTAATGAGCCATCTCCCCGGCCCCCAATCTGTCATTTTTGTTTGGAGTTTTCTTCAATTATCAAATTTTTGTTGTTTTTTTTAACATGTAAAAGTTTCTTAAATGTTAGTCAAATTTATTTTCTTTCATTTTGTCTATATTTTGAGTCATTATTATACCAAAGCCCTATTTATACCAAAGTTAAAGCAAATTTGGGGACCAGGGATATATCTCAATGGCATAAGCACCTGCCTGGCAAGAGCAAGGTCCTGAGCTTGATTCCTAGTGAAAAAAAAAAAAAAGGCAAAATTTACCCATGTTTTCTCCTGGTACTTTTATGATTCTAGTTTTTTTTATTTATTTATTTATGTGTGTGTGTGTGTGTGCGTGTGTGTGTGTGTGTGTGTGTGTCCAGCTCAGCCCACCTGGGAGCGGGGCTGGCTGGCATGTGGTGCTGGGGGAGTGAACCGTGGTCCCTGAGCTTTGCTAAGCTTGTTCTAAGTAGGTGCTTTAGACCACTGAGCCATCTCACCAGCCCC